CACCTACAACTGCTGTACCCACAACTGCAGCACCTACAACTGCAGCACCCACAACTGCTGCACCTACAACTGCTGCACCTACAACTGCATCACCTGCAGCACCCACAACTGCTGCACCCACAACTGCAGCACCTACAACTGCTTCACCTACAACTGCTTCACCTACAACTGCTGCACCTACAACTGCTGCACCCACAACTGCTGCACCCACAACTGCTGCACCCACAACTGCTGCACCTACAACTGCAGCACCTACAACTGCTGCACCTACAACTGCTGCACCTACAACTGCATCACCTGCAGCACCCACAACTGCTGCACCCACAACTGCAGCACCTACAACTGCTTCACCTACAACTGCTTCACCTACAACTGCTGCACCTACAACTGCAGCACCTACAACTGCTTCACCTACAACTGCAGCACCTACAACTGCAGCACCCACAACTGCTGCACCCACAACTGCAGCACCTACAACTGCTTCACCTACAACTGCTTCACCTACAACTGCTGCACCTACAACTGCTGCACCCACAACTGCTGCACCCACAACTGCTGCACCTACAACTGCTGCACCTACAACTGCTGCACCCACAACTGCTGCACCCACAACTGCAGCACCTACAACTGCAGCACCTACAACTGCAGCACCTACAACTGCAGCACCCACAACTGCTGCACCCACAACTGCAGCACCTACAACTGCAGCACCTACAACTGCTGCACCTACAACTGCTGCACCCACAACTGCAGCACCCACAACTGCAGCACCTACAACTGCTTCACCTACAACTGCTTCACCTACAACTACTTCACCTACAACTGCAGCACCCACAACTGCTGCACCCACAACTGCAGCACCCACAACTGCTGCACCCACAACTGCTTCACCCACAACTGCTGCACCTACAACTGCTGCACCTACAACTGCTTCACCTACAACTGCTTCACCTACAACTGCTTCACCTACAACTGCTGCACCTACAACTGCAGCACCCACAACTGCTGCACCCACAACTGCAGCACCTACAACTGCTTCACCTACAACTGCTTCACCTACAACTGCTGCACCTACAACTGCTGCACCCACAACTGCTTCACCCACAACTGCAGCACCCACAACTGCTGCACCTACAACTGCTGCACCTACAACTGCTGCACCTACAACTGCTGCACCTACAACTGCTGCACCTACAACTGCTGCACCCACAACTGCAGCACCCACAACTGCTGCACCTACAACTGCTGCACCCACAACTGCAGCACCCACAACTGCAGCACCCACAACTGCTGCACCTACAACTGCTGCACCTACAACTGCTGTACCTACAACTGCTGCACCTACAACTGCAGCACCTACAACTGCTGCACCTACAACTGCAGCACCTACAACTGCTGCACCTACAACTGCTGCACCTACAACTGCATCACCTGCAGCACCCACAACTGCTGCACCCACAACTGCAGCACCCACAACTGCAGCACCTACAACTGCTTCACCTACAACTGCTTCACCTACAACTGCTGCACCTACAACTGCAGCACCTACAACTGCTGCACCTACAACTGCAGCACCTACAACTGCTGCACCTACAACTGCAGCACCCACAACTGCTGCACCCACAACTGCAGCACCTACAACTGCTGCACCTACAACTGCAGCACCTACAACTGCTGCACCTACAACTGCAGCACCCACAACTGCTGCACCCACAACTGCAGCACCTACAACTGCTTCACCTACAACTGCTGCACCTACAACTGCTGCACCCACAACTGCAGCACCCACAACTGCAGCACCTACAACTGCTTCACCTACAACTGCTTCACCTACAACTACTTCACCTACAACTGCAGCACCCACAACTGCTGCACCCACAACTGCAGCACCCACAACTGCTGCACCCACAACTGCTTCACCCACAACTGCTGCACCTACAACTGCTGCACCTACAACTGCTTCACCTACAACTGCTTCACCTACAACTGCTTCACCTACAACTGCTGCACCTACAACTGCAGCACCCACAACTGCAGCACCTACAACTGCAGCACCCACAACTGCTGCACCCACAACTGCAGCACCTACAACTGCTTCACCTACAACTGCTTCACCTACAACTGCTGCACCTACAACTGCTGCACCCACAACTGCTTCACCCACAACTGCAGCACCCACAATTGCTGCACCCACAACTGCTGCACCTACAACTCCTGTAACCACAACTGCAGCACCCACAACTGCTGCACCCACAACTGCTGCACCTACAACTGCTGCACCTACAACTGCTGCACCTACAACTGCTGCACCCACAACTGCAGCACCCACAACTGCTGCACCTACAACTGCTGCACCCACAACTGCAGCACCCACAACTGCAGCACCCACAACTGCTGCACCTACAACTGCTTCACCTACAACTGCTTCACCTACAACTGCTGCACCTACAACTGCTGCACCTACAACTGCAGCACCTACAACTGCAGCACCTACAACTGCTGCACCTACAACTGCTGCACCTACAACTGCAGCACCTACAACTGCTGCACCTACAACTGCTTCACCTACAACTGCAGCACCTACAACTGCAGCACCCACAACTGCTGCACCCACAACTGCAGCACCTACAACTGCTTCACCTACAACTGCTTCACCTACAACTGCAGCACCTACAACTGCTGCACCTACAACTGCTTCACCTACAACTGCAGCACCTACAACTGCAGCACCTACAACTGCTTCACCTACAACTGCAGCACCTACAACTGCTGCACCTACAACTGCTGCACCTACAACTGCAGCACCTACAACTGCTTCACCTACAACTGCTTCACCTACAACTGCTGCACCTACAACTGCTGCACCTACAACTGCAGCACCTACAACTGCAGCACCCACAACTGCTGCACCTACAACTGCAGCACCTACAACTGCAGCACCCACAACTGCTGCACCCACAACTGCTGCACCTACAACTGTTTCACCCACAACTGCAGCACCCACAACTGCTTCACCCACAACTGCTGCACCTACAACTGCTGCACCTACAACTGCTTCACCTACAACTGCTTCACCCACAACTGCAGCACCTACAACTGCTGCACCTACAACTGCTGCACCTACAACTGCTGCACCTACAACTGCTGCACCTACAACTGCTGCACCTACAACTGCTGCACCTACAACTGCTTCACCCACAACTGCAGCACCCACAACTGCTTCACCCACAACTACTTCACCCACAACTGCTGCACCTACAAGTGCTTCACCTACAACTGTTTCACCCACAACTGCAGCACCCACAACTGCTTCACCCACAACTGCTGCACCTACAACTGCTGCACCTACAACTGCTGCACCTACAACTGCTTCACCCACAACTGCTTCACCCACAACTGCTGCACCTACAACTGCTGCACCTATAACTGCTGCACCCACAACTGCAGCACCCACAACTGCTGCACCCACAACTGCTTCACCCACAACTGCTGCACCCACAACTGCTGCACCTACAACTGCTGCACCCACAACTGTTGCACCCACAACTGCTTCACCCACAACTGCTGCACCCACAACTGCTGCGCCTACAACTGCTGCACCCACAACTGCAGCACCTACAACTGCTGCACCTACAACTGCTGCACCCACAACTGCTGCACCTACAACTGCTGCACCTACAACTGCTGCACCTACAACTGCTGCACCTACAACTGTTGCACCCACAACTGCTTCACCCACAACTGCTGCACCCACAACTGCTGCGCCTACAACTGCTGCACCCACAACTGCAGCACCCACAACTGCAGCACCCACAACTGCAGCACCCACAACTGCTGCACCCACAACTGCTGCACCTACAACTGCAGCACCTACAACTGCAGCACCTACAACTGCAGCACCTACAACTGCAGCACCTACAACTGCTGCACCCACAACTGCTGCACCCACAACTGCAGCACCCACAACTGCTGCACCCACAACTGCAGCACCCACAACTGCTGCACCCACAACTGCTGCACCTACAACTGCCTCACCTACAACTGCAGCACCCACAACTTCAGCCCCTACAACTGCTGCACCTACAACTGCTGCACCTATAACTGCTGCACCCACAACTGCTGCACCTACAACTGCCTCACCTACAACTGCAGCACCCACAACTGCTGCACCCACAACTGCTGCACCCATAACTGCTGCACCTATAACTGCTGCACCTACAACTGCTGCACCTACAACTGCAGCACCTACAACTGCTGCACCTACAACTGCTCCACCCACAACTGCAGCACCCACAACTGCTGCACCTACAACTGCAGCACCTACAACTGCTGCACCTACAACTGCTCCACCCACAACTGCAGCACCCACGACTGCTGCACCCACGACTGCTGCACCTACGACTGCTGCACCTACAACTGCTGCACCTACAACTGCTGCACCCACAACTGCTGCACCCACAACTGCTGCACCCACAACTGCAGCACCCACAACTGCTGCACCCACAACTGCTGCACCTACAACTGCCTCACCTACAACTGCAGCACCCACAACTTCAGCCCCTACAACTGCTGCACCTACAACTGCTGCACCTACAACTGCTGCACCCACAACTGCTGCACCTACAACTGCCTCACCTACAACTGCAGCACCCACAACTGCTGCACCCACAACTGCTGCACCCATAACTGCTGCACCTATAACTGCTGCACCTACAACTGCTGCACCTACAACTGCAGCACCTACAACTGCTTCACCTACAACTGCTGCACCTACAACTGCTGCACCTATAACTGCTTCACCTACAACTGCAGCACCTACAACTGCAGCACCCACAACTGCTGCACCCACAACTGCTGCACCTACAACTGCCTCACCTACAACTGCAGCACCCACAACTTCAGCCCCTACAACTGCTGCACCTACAACTGCTGCACCTATAACTGCTGCACCCACAACTGCTGCACCTACAACTGCCTCACCTACAACTGCAGCACCCACAACTGCTGCACCCACAACTGCTGCACCTATAACTGCTGCACCTATAACTGCTGCACCTATAACTGCTGCACCTACATCTGAGGCCCCTACGACTGCAGTAACCACAACAGTGGCTCTAAAAACTTCAGCTCCTCCAACTCCCCGTATCCTACCAACTCCTGGAGAACCACCAACTCAAGGTTTTGACTCAAATTATTATTTTTACATTTTGATTTCATGTCTGTTACGCAGGAATTAATGTTTTAAATATGCATGGCCAAAGGCATTAAGTGAAGCTCACATTAAGAAAGAAACATCATAAAAAGTGTAGCTCTCCCAGTTTTTATTTTAGAACATTATAATGGCTATAAGCCACAGTTTTAGGGAGTTCAAATTCATTTATATGATTAATGGGATCAATAGTATATTAAATATATGAGTATATTGGCAATAATGTTATTTTCATGAAAGGGTATAATTATAAAATTGGCCTTCACATGTCCTACTTGTGTTCTTTAATCACATACAGGCTTGGTATCACTGGCACACCTACAACTGAGAATAAGTACCTTTGGGGAGGTCAGCAATGGAACCATCATTGAACTTGTTAAACAGGTATGGAAACCAGATAACTTTTATGTGAAGGATCCTCACATGACATAATCAATGATAGAAATTAGATATAACTTTGATTCATTCGAGTTCATTGTGTTTTCTCTACATTTAGTTTTTTGGAGACCGGCTCCAGAATGGAACAGCCCACACAGTTACCGTGAAAAACATACGAAGGGTTTAAGTGTCCCCATAGAAGCGTCATGGAGATTTTGGACAAATGCAATTTCAGGTTGGGCTGGTGGTGAAGGGGCAGTCCCCCTCAACCATTTCATCATGTCAGGAAAGTGTCTTTGATTTGTATATTGCTTTCAGGTTGGGCACAACACATCGTATGTCATTATACTCCAATATGTTGAAGTGGTCTACAACCAATAACTACAAATCAATTCAATCTGGATTGCTCTTAAGGTGCAAGAGAAGGTGTTTTTAATCAACGCAAAACTTAAGTTTAAGGTTCACAACCCTCTTGTGTTTCTAGAGCAGCTTTTTGTCCAACTCAATCTTTTTTTTAAAAGAACCATTTTCCCTTTTAACCATAAAATATTCTTGTGTGTGCAGTTTTTCCTGGAATGTGAAAGAATGTGAGGTAGTGTTTTTAGGCCTAAGTGTCACATGAACTACAAGAGGAAGCTCAAACCTACAACCTGTCAAAGATGTTTTAAAGAGGTGATAATCATGTATCATGCTGTGAAATTAAAGGAGCCAGGAAACTAAACTAATTATTATGACTCCTCTTTTTAACCATGCATACATAAGGAGGTCATTTAAAGGAAACGCAGGTGAAGTGAACCCCAGTGAGAGCCTGTAACAATGTTTGACAATTGTACAACGAATGAACGACCCGTTAAGCCGGACCAACAAATTGCTAAATGTAACACAGTGTAATGATTATTGAATGTAAATCTGTTTTGCTTTGCCCCATCAATCATTCATAAGTTTAGCTTCTGGCTTTGTCTTTCCAATTTAAAACCAGAACATGAAATCACTGCTTTGGCTTTGAACTTGAACATTTGTGGTGGTGTCAGAGTGAAGGACTCATGGTCAATGACTCTCACTCTCTCCAACAAGTGGTGTAATGTACAGGAGCACTTTCAGAGGAAGACTGTTATACCTTGATGAACTATTGAATACCACAGGAAATATTATCTTCATTTGTAAATGACTCAGCTTCACTGTGTCGAGAGATGGAAGTACCTCTGTTATTGCTATTTTATGTTATCCATCATTTTACTATCTCTCTGTGGATTACTATCTCTCTGTGGATTACTATCTCTCTGTGGATTACTATCTCTCTGTGGATTACTGATTAAACTGAGCTCTATGGGGGTCTTTAAAACTAACACGCAGGCACGCACACACACACACACACACACACAGCAGCAGCCCTCTACTTGCTACCATAGCTTGTTACAAACTTAAATATGAAAAGGTTCAACTGCGCACACACACATCATCTCAGCTCGCGCAGCACGCTCACAGGCATAGATTACGCAATAATGTATTGCGCACCTTGGAGGCGCAGCGCAGCATATTGTCATTCAAGAGATGCGTTGTTCTTTTGGAAAACATGTTTTTCTTTTAGCCTATTTACCTCGTTAACGTAAATAATACTCATTACATTGACACATGCATTATTTGTGATTAAAATAATGGTTGTTGGTAATGTATTAGCGACCCCCACAGATGTATTATTTCACTGCGTCCGTGGGAGCTCAGACCCCTCAGCTCCCATAAAGTACCGCAGTCTCTTCTCCTAAATCCTTTTGAATTCTCCTATCCACTAGCCCTTAACCCCGTGACGTTTCACACAGAGGTCAAGGGATAGAGTGGTTCCCAACCTGGGGGGCGCCAAAGATCGCAGGGGGGGCGCCAGGCCTCAGATGATTTGAGGCCAAATATCATATTTAGACTTTTTTTTTTTTTTTATTTTATTTATTTATTTATTTATTTTTACATATAATTGTAACGCAATACATGATTGTCACTAAAAGCCTTGTCTCTACATTACAATAACATATACAAAATAATTGATTAATTAATTTGAATAAAAATTCAAGTTAGTAGCTATTATAGGCATAACAAGACAGACATGTATAATTCTTTCTTTGATAGAAATGTTTCTTCTGCCCGTAAAGTGTCCAAACCAGGCTTTTCTGGATAAGCGCATTTTTAAAACATAGTCATTGTCCATGCCGGTTTCAGATTATTTGTCACAGTTGCTCCGATCAGATCGATCTCCTCCATTTTGTAGATTATTTACGACTTTTGTATCCACATAAACACATCGGCAAAATCCGGCTTACTTTGAGCATGTGTTTTAAACAGTTTAATCCCTTTGTGAATTGTTTCCACTTGCGCCGTCCTTTAATTTCTTCATACAGCAAGGCAAGGCAAGGCAATTTTATTTATATAGCACTTTTCAGCACGTGGCGATACAGCGGGAATCCAAATGAATGAATCCTGAGTCCAATAACCATCAAAGTCACTCCAATAGTACTCCTTGATTACGCTTTCATCCTCCTTTAACAAAATACTTCACATTCATCCAGTTTGTGACAGTAGTTGTAGCATTTTTGAGACTTTTAAACTTTAATTACCGCTGTTGCGCCCCTCATTTGGGGGGGCATCAGGAGTCATTTGGGGGGGCTCTTGGGAAAAAAGGTTGAGAACCCCTGGGATAGACGATAGACGTTAGGGATTGACGATAAGGATAGACGTTAGGAGCTGATTTTTGGACTAACAAACAACCCTGAATTTAAAAAATTTGAACAAAATCATAATTCTGACATTTTCAGAAAAAGTCCAAATGTTAGAATTTTCTGAAAAAAATCATAATTTGGGGATTTTCTGAAAAAAGTGAGAATATTGAGATATTCAGAAATATCATAATTTTGAGAATTTTTGAAAAAGATCATAATTTAGAGATCTTTTGAAAACATTCCGAATTCCGAAATGTTCAGAAAATGTCAAAATTCAGAATTTTGAGGAAAAAAAATCTGAATTTTGAGAAAAACTCAGATGTTTTTAGAATTCATGAAAAAATCAGAAGATGTTCCTTTTTGTAACGTCAAAAAATACCCTAATTTTTTTAACCAAATATCAGATGGATTTTGCAAGAGCTTTTATTTTGAAATTACTTCCGAAAGCTCCACCCGTTGCCCCAATAATCATTTTGACAGTTCAGTAAGGTAAGAAAAAAAGTACAAGTACAAAAAGTACAAGAAAACCAACAAACTCAAACTCGTATCTCCGCAGTATTTCCTACGGTCGTGGCGAGCACTTGAACGCAGCAGGAGCGTCACCACGTCACTGTTTTCCAACATGGCGGCGCCCCTGCCCGGTAGGTGTGGATTCTTCGTGGAGAAAAAGAAACGCTTCTGTAAGATGATCGTGGCGCGAGGAAATGTGTTCTGCGGAGAGCACGCGACTCAGGTGAGTGCAGGGACTCGTGGTGAGTTCAGGGACATGTGGTGGGTTCAGGGACCAGTGGTGAGTTCAGGAACATGTGGTGAGTTCAGGGACCATGATAACAGCTGAGCGAGGGATCCTCATTAGTCTGAACTCCTGTACTGTGTGTAGTGTACTGTATACTGTGTGTACTGTGTGTACTGTGTGTACTGTGTGTACTGTGTCTGTGTATACTGTGTGTACTGTGTGTCTGTGTACTGTGTGTACTGTGTGTGCTGTGTACTGTGTACTGTGTGTATGTGTACGGTATGTACTGTACTGTGTACTGCGTACTGTGTGTACTGTGTACTGTGTACTGTGTTTACTGTGTGCTGTGTACTGTATGTACTGTACTGTGTACTGCGTACTGTGTGTACTGTGTACTGTGTGTACTGTGTGCAACATGGTGTATTCAAACAGTCTGATAATAATAATCACATAATGAGGTCCATATATTAAGATTTAAAATGCACAAACACAGATTCATGTTAAAGTCATGGTGTTCTCAGATCACTGTAGAGTCTCTACGACACCATCTACAGAAATATTGTAGAAATACAATGTGTGTGTCTGCAGGAGTCAGTGATACCTGTACGTATAGAGGCCATGCTTTGTTGTATACCAGGGAAATGTTCATATTTTAGAACATTTTGCACTTTATTATCCAGTTTCCAGCTGAAACCATAAATGACTAAACACATGAATGCGTTATTATGATATAAAGCACATGGGTCAAACTCAAGGTCCGGGGGCCAAATCAGGCCCGTGGTGGATTTAATTTCGGCCCGCAGGATAATTTCTAATTCCTATTAGATCTGGCCCGCCGGTATATTGCACGCACACCTTCACTCCATCCTGAGGGTCTCCTCAGCTCAGAGCCTGACCCCAAACATTGATGACCTTGCACCCAAGATGAGATGCCAAGTATCTGAGCTAGCATCACAGAGCAGCACACTGAGTTTACATGTTTCCTTCTGCACTTTTTCTCTCACGACAACAGGGCATGTTTGGTTTGTTCTTTGAGGGAAATAGTTTTGTTGAAGCTGTTGTTGGCCTGTGGAGAAATGTACTCATAAGAAATGACTCTGAGCCATAAGAAATGAATGCAACTGATTATTTAATGTTTCATGTTGTTTTTATAGGCAATCATTTAAAGTGGACCTATCATGCTATATTTGAATAATATAGTGTAGGACCATACCTATATAAGGCATATTTATACTTTTTCTTTTTCAAAATACCAAACAGATCATGCATTTTAGCCATGCCTCATTTCACTCAATTTGACATTTTTTAGCTCTGTTTTAGCAAGGGCAGATTCAGTGAGAACAGCACCATCTACAGGCCTGGCATATGTACTACAGCGTCTCCAGCGCTTTAGAACGGCAATGGCCGTGGCTGTCTCCTCCTGATTGGTGGAGTTGGCCCAATAGCCGTAGCGCCACCGTCCTGACGTCAGGACAGTGTTCAAATCTGGATCAGTTTTTATCAGATCCGTTGCAGCCCCTTTTTTAGAGATTTGGGTATGGAGGGAAATAGAGAGGGTTGTGTTTTCTGACACTTGGTGAGTTCCCTGGAACACCGGGGACACATATTCATGTAGAAAAGACGTACACAAGTGCATTTTGCATGAGAGGTCCCCTTTAAGCTTTGTTAGTTCCAAGTTTAATATGTGCAATAAGTTCATTTCAATACGTTTTGCAATAAACATTGAACCAGTCCGGCCCTCCACTAGTACCGTTTTTTTATTTTGGCCAACTGTTTATTTGAGTTTGACACCCCTGCTCTACAGTATATTATGAAAAACAGAGGAATACGTGGTAGCAGTGTCCCACAGATGCCTATTTATTTATTCACTTTGAATGCTCAATGCTCATGTTTGTACCTTTTTAATGTTTTTAGAGGTGACGGAGCAGAGTGCACTTTCATTAGAGATTTGTCTGTGTTGTTTTTAGTAACTAATCAATAACCTGAACCTAAAATTAATAATTAGTGTCAGATTATTGATTTAATCCCTGTTTCCTGTGAGCAGGAGGAGGGCAGCTGCAGGAGGATCGTTTGTCCTCTGGACCCCAAACAGTGAGTCACTAAATAATAATTATATTAATCAGCTTTATTAATAATCAGGAGGTTTAATGAATCACTTCCTGTTTCAGCACCGTGAGTGAAGACAAGCTGGAAAAACACCTGAAGAAATGTAACTCCAGAGAGAAGCCCAAGCCCGTGAGACCACTATTACAAATACTATTGTTTTATCATTTGTATTATTCTTTTTATCATTATTCTTTTTTTAAATTATTATTCAGAAGAAAATCTGAATTATGACATTTCTGAAAGACAGAATTTTGCGATTTTGAATGAAAAAGTCAGAATTTTGAGAAAAAGTCAGATTTTTGAGAAAAAATAGAGATTTTTGGGAAAAAGTCAGAATTTAGAGATTTTTGGGGGAAAGTCAGAATTTAGAGATTTTTTTTTTTTTTTTAAAGTCAGAATTTAGAGATTTTATGAAAAAAGTCTGACATTTCTGAAAAAGACAGCATGTTAAAGGGCCCATGTCATGCTTTTCCGGTTATTACCCGTCCCCTTGTGTGTTATGAAGGTTTTTCTGCATGTAAACGGTGTGCAGAGTCACAAAGTACACCCTGTAGCGAGTAAAACTCTTAACACAGAAAATACCTCCCCAAAACGCCTCGTTGGAGATGCGTCATTGTCCATTTGATTCTTCCATTTCGTTCCGGGTACGGCATGATGTCAAGCCGTACCCGGAACAAAATGGACCAATCCGTGGAGCCGTTACGTTACGTCCGCGGAGCCGTTACGCTAAGCCCCCGCTGATTGGTCCAAATTGACCAATCCACGGACTTCCTCACACACACACACAGTGCAGGCAGCTCAGCTGATTTCTCCTCCCTGGCTGCAGGCTGATAACAGACAGTTGAAATTCTCTCTGCAGACCCATTCTCTCTGCAGACCCATTCTCACTGCAGACCCATTCTCTCTGCAGACCCATTCTCTCTGCAGACCCATTCTCTCTGCAGACCCATTCTCTCTGCAGACCCATTCTCTCTGCAGACCCATTCTCTCTGCAGACCCATTCTCTCTGCAGACCCATTCTCACTGCAGACCCATTCTCTCTGCAGACCCATTCTCTCTGCAGACCCATTCTCTCTGCAGACCCATTCTCTCTGCAGAGCCATTCTCTCTGCAGAGCCATTCTCTCTGCAGACCCATTCTCTCTGCAGAGCCATTCTCTCTGCAGAGCCATTCTCTCTGCAGACCCATTCTCTCTGCAGACCCATTCTCTCTGCAGACCCATTCTCTCTGCAGACCCATTCTCTCTGCAGACCCATTCTCTCTGCAGACCCATTCTCTCTGCAGACCCATTCTCACAGCGTTTATCAACCTTTTTCTTACTCAATATCAAGCCACACTTAGTGTTTTTACTTCGGCTGTGACTTTGTGTGTGCTCAGGATGAGTTTGGCTGTGTATCGCTAACAAGGAACCCACACCTCCAGTGTACAACCTCCAGTGGAAATGGCCATGACATGGGACCTTTACGTTTTTTGGGAAAAAGTCATTTTTAATTTATTTGAAAAAATTCATAATTTTGAAACTTTTGGGGAAAAAATCTGAATTTTGTGATTTTTGAAGAAAGTCAAAATAAGTCATCATTTTTTGATATTCAGAAAAAAGTAATAATTCTGATATTTTGTGTGTACATCATTTTTTGAAAAAGGTTATTATTATTTTACTTTATTTGTTATTATTAATATATATATATATATATATATATATATTGTTAAATGTATTTTTATTTGAAGCTCAATGAAATGTGGTTTTGACTTCCTGCAGGTTTACTATGTGAAGAACATAAACGCTGGACCAGCTGACGGAGACGAGACGCTCCGACAGGTAACATCTCACCTGAATATTATAATTGTAATCATGATAATATAAAACCATAGTAATGATATTAATACAGATATTAGACCTACTAATAACAGCTGCTGTGTGTCTCAGGTGAGTCTGTGTGATCTCAGCCGGACTCAGCTACAGTCTCTGTTGGACAAACTGAAGACAGCCGCCACAGGTGAGTCAACATTCACCTGTGAGTTAGATGAGGATGATGGTGAGGATGATGAGGATGATGTTGATGTTGTTGTGGTAGGACTGCAGTGCGACATTGAGGACGGTTTTCTGTCTCATCCGGTCGTTCAGGAGGAACTGGACGACCCAAAGAATGGAGACTCCGCCAACAAACACCTGAAGCAGCAGGTAAACACAAACACCTGAAGCAGCAGGTAAACACAAACACCTGAAGCAGCAGGTAAACACAAACACCTGAAGCAGCAGGTCAACACAAACACCTGAAGCAGCAGGTCAACACAAACACCTGAAGCAGCAGGTAAACACAAACACCTGAAGCAGCAGGTAAACACAAACACCTGAAGCAGCAGGTAAACAAACACTGAGCTCACCTGAGCTGAAAACCACAGGGATTCAATTAAACAACTTTCTTTAAAAACTCAAATGTGTTCAGAGTTGGGTTTGTTGTTCCTCTCTCACCTGTCAGGTGTGTGCAGTCCTCTCTGTTAGGTCACATGGAGGCGCTGGGGCTGCTGGGTAGGGGGCGGAGCTTCGTGGAGTTCGGAGCAGGTCGAGGGAAACTTTCCCACTGGATCCACGAAGCCCTGAGGAGACGAGACCCCCTGAAGACAGGCGAGGAACAGAAGACCAGCGAGGATCTGAAGGACCTGCAGTTCCTGCTGGTGGAGCGCAGCAGCACGCGGTTCAAGGTAAACTACTTTATTCATACATGACACACTTATAGCGCTTTTCTAGAAACTGAAAGACGCTTTGACAGAGAATAACACAACAACGAAGAAAACACGTAAAGAGACAAACGGGGGGGGGGGGGGCAGTGGTTGAATGCAGTGTTGAACAGGTTACTTATTATTACTCCTTCCTGCTTTCCTTTCACAATAAAAGCCCTAAAGATACACACTACCTGTTTACCTCTCAGACAGGGTGGGAGCCAATGGGAGCTCCCATAAGGAGGGTCTGAGCTCCTAAAGCGGTGAAATCATACATCTGGGGGGGTCGCTAATACATTACCAACAACCATTATTTTAATCACAAATCATGCATGTGTCAATGTAATGAGTATTTACGTTAACGAGGTAAATAGGCTAAAAGAAAAACATGTTTTCCAAAAGAACTAGGCATCGTATTGTCTCTTGAATGACAATATGCTGCTCTGCACCTCCAAGGTCTATGTCTAATCTATGCTTGTGAGCGTGCTGCGCTGAGATGATGTGCTATGTGGTGTGCGTCGTTTAACCTTTTCATATTTAAGTTTGTAGCAAGTAGAGGGCTGCTGCTGTGTGTGCGTTAGTTTTAAAGACCCCCATGAAGCTCAGATTATAACTGGAACCCTGCTCACAGAGCCTTCAGAGAGATGAGTTCATGTTTTAAGGGATCTTTGTCTCATCAGGTGGACGGGAAACATCAGGAGGCTGGAGTTCAGTTCCAGAGGCTGCAGGTCGACATCCAGCATCTGGACTTAAGTAAGGGATGATTTAAATATGATACTAACAGCTGGGTTTAGAAAACAGACGAACATCTGGAGTCTCTGGAAGTCCAGGTGAGTTCTGCTGTTGATCTCCTGTCTCTCTGCTGTCTCCAGGTAAAGTGGCGCCGCTCACCGACAGGAAGCTGCCTCTGGTCGCCGTGGGGAAACACCTGTGTGGAGCCGCGACAGGTGAGAGCAGGGCTCAGCGTTTTCACTTCTGTTAAATAGTGAATGTACTCCTTCAATATCAGAGCAACATGCTAACAAAGGTATCCCAACTGCAGCTGTGAACATGACAGGATGTGTGATTACCTAGAAGAGCATCAGGACTGTTTGAGGCATATGATAGCTATGTGATTAACATGATGATTCAGCCTCTATGGAGATAGACATATGACAAGCATGCTCATTTCTGACGTGGAGCTAATCTGAAGTAAACATTGAATACTGCTTTCTATTCCTCCATCTTGTGACTGTGTAACTCCCTCTCTTGGATATCAGCATGTGAAGGACACTGTTCAGGAACTAGTTGATGCTCTGTATGTGATGACTCCTTCCATTCTGGAGAGGATCACAGATACATGGATCCTGAGATTGAAGCTCAAGCCGGAGACCAGGGATTATTAACATTTTTAAGTATTCAGAAAAAGTCAGAATTTTGAGATTTTTGAGAAAAAGTAAGAATTTTGAGATTTTGAGAAAAAGTCAGATTTTTGCGAAAAAGTCCAATTTGTTGAGATTTTTGCGAAAAAGTAATTTTTTTTAGTTTTTTGAGAAAAAGTCAGATTTTTTTAGAAAAGTCAGCATTTTTTAGATTTGTGTGTAAAAGTCAGATTTTTGAGATTTTGAGAAAAAGTCCGATTTTTGAGATTTTGAGAAAAAGTCAGATTTTTTAGATTTTGACTACTTCCATTCTGGAGAGGATCATAAATACATCGATCCTGAGATTGAAGCTCAAGCCGGGGACCAGTGAGATTTTTCTAACATCTTCTGTCTCAGATCTGGCTCTCCGCTGTCTGCTCGACACACCGGGTACAAGAGAGGAGAGCGGACCGCCACCGAAACGCCTCAAAACAACAGAAGAAGAGGATTCAGCAGACCCTGATCTAGTTCCTGGTCCTGGTCCTGGTCCTGGTCCAGTTCTGGGCGTTGCCGTGGCGTTGTGCTGTCACAACCGCTGTGAGTGGCGTCACTACGTCGGGAAAGAGTTCTTCCTGCAGCGAGGAATCGGAGCCGAAGAGTTCTCAGCGTTCTGCAGGATGTCGAGCTGGGCCACGTGTGGAATGAGACCGACCAATCAGGACGCTCCATCTCAAGATCCGGCCAATCAGAGAGGAGAGGAGGAAGAGCACGAACCGGCGGAGGAGAGGGACTCTGTGAGCGGGTAAATATCTCACCTCTGAGGTTTTACTTTTTTGTTCACTTCAGATTTTCTCTGTTCTGGTTTTTATAGAAGACCTGAAGGCAGGGGGGTCAAACTCAATTTCATCGCGGGCCACATTCGCATAAAGGTTGCACTCAAAGGGCCGGTTGTAACTATATAATAAATATATAATAAATATATATAAAATAATGTATTATATTACATTATTGTCTCTGAATTGGATTATTATCAGATAGGATAATAACTTAGTAATTAACTACGTCTGAAAGCAGAAGTCCAGGGCAAATAATTGCAAGTCTCTTCAGTGCGCATGTCACAAAACGAGATGCATTGTGGGACATGTAGTTTATGGGCAACCTGCTTCTGTAAAGTGGCATGTAACCGTATAATAAACGTATTATATTCTTTGCAAGCTCTTGCGGGGCCACATAAAATGAAGTCGCGGGCCGGATTTGGCCCCCGGGCCTTGAGTTTGAGACCCCTGCCTTACCCCAGCGGATAAGCACAACAATTGTGCATTTTATGAGAAAAGCATGACATTTCTAACATAGTTAGAGCATACCATAAGGTTTATTTTCAGATGTGGAGGGAAGTCAGATTTGACCCGTGAGGACCGTGAGAGGTCAAATCCAAGATGTCCGCCAGTCTCTCGGGTCAAATGTTCAAACGCGTTTAATTTTGGAACCAAACATTGTAGAAAAACATTTAAGGTCCATCCAACTAAATTAGGGATGCCCAATCATTTGGTGATACTTTTGAGATCGCCAGAATTCAAGAAAATGCATTTAGGTGAAGATAAAGGTAGAAATTGACCAAAAATAAGCTGTCAATCAGTTGAAATTTGGTGTGTGTGTGTGTGTGTGTGTGTGTGTGTGTGTGTGTGTGTGTGTGTGTGTGTGGTGTGTGTGTGTGTGTGTGTGTGTGTGTGTGTGTGTGTGTGTGTGTGTGTGTGTGTGTGTGTGTGTGTGTGTGTGTGGTGTGTGTGTGTGTGTGTGTGTGTGTGTGTGTGTGTGTGTGTGTGTGTGTGTGTGTGTGTGTGTGTGTGTGTGTGTGTGTGTGTGTGTGTGTGTGTGTGTGTGTGTGTGTGTGTGTGTGTGTGTGTGTGTGTGTGTGTGTGTGTGTGTGTGTGTGTGTGTGTGTGTGTGTGTGTGTGTGTGTGTGTGTGTGTGTGTGTGTGTGTGTGTGTGTGTGTGTGTGTGTGTGTGTGTGTGTGTGTGTGTGGTCACCCAGCGCTAGCATTAATACAGAGACTGGAGGAATATGGCTTTACTTGGCACATGCTGAAGCAAACATTTGTTTTTGTCTTCAAATACATACTTACATGATTGTGACGAGCATAATATTTGCTCCCCGCCCAACTCTCTAAGTGCTTGAACTCCGTGACAGGAGGATGAAGTATGTATAAATGGATGGAACTATCAACAAAACAACAGCGTTTTATTCCCCAATGTCATATTTAATAGAAAAATAATGATGCACCACTTATTGGAGAAAGAAGAATGGAGAACAGAAAGGTTTAGAGAGGGACAACATGCTGAAACCTTGCAACTTCAGTGCCAGAGAAAAAAGGTACTGTGAGTACACTTGTGGTTATTGTCCTCATGTTGCACATAGAACATTCAATTAAGATGTTTAACGCATGTGGGCAAAAATCCATCAATCTTTCAATTTTCTAAAACTTGTTATATCCTTAGAGTCATTTAAAATGAGTTTTTTTCTCCATGCCATGGAGTCTAAATGGGTAAACCTTTGTATTTGTAATTGTACAGCCATGCTAGGACAAACAAATCCCCTTTGCCAATGTTCTCTCTGCACTCTCTGTCACACACACAACATACATAACCCTTTCTTTGCATGACCTCTAAATGTCCATGTGAGCCACTAAAGAACAGAAAAAAAGCTGCGCTACCTTGGCTTTATAGGTGGACAGGCAGGGAATCGAACCCCAACCCTCTATAAGTGGAAAGGGACAGCGGTGAACCTTATAGTTGAGTGCAGCCCTTTGTTAACAGCGAGGGTTAAGAGAGCTGTTGGTGCTCTACATGGAACTGTTTTCCATCTCCCTCTTTGGTTTACATTATTATTATTATTTTTCTATTAAATATGACATTGGGGAATAAAACGCTGTTGTTTTGTTGATAGTTCCATCCATTTATACATACTTCATCCTCCTGTCACGGAGTTCAAGCACTTAGACTTAGAGAGTTGGGCGGGGAACAAATATGATGCTCGTCACAATCATGTTAGTATGTATTTGAAGACAAAAACAAATGTTTGCTTCAGCATGCAGACTGTGCCAAGTAAAGCCATATTCCTCCAGTCTCTGTAGTAATGCTAGCGCTGGGTGACCATAAATCCACTGGAATATACCACACACACACACACACACACACACACACACACACACCAAATTTCAACTGATTGACAGCTTATTTTTGGTCAATTTCTACCTTTATCTTCAACTAAATTCATTTTCTTGAATTCTGGCGATCTCAAAAGTATCACCAAATGATTGGGCATCCATAATTTAGTTGGATATGACACCTTAAATTTTTTCTACAATGTTTGGTTCCAAAATTAAGCGTGTTTGAACATTTGACCCGAGAGACTGGTGGCCATCTTGGATTTGACCTCTCACGGTCCTCACGGGTCAAATCTGACTTCCCTCCACATCTGAAAATAAACCTTATGGTATGCTCTAACTATGTTAGAAATGTCATGCTTTTCTCATAAAATGCACAATTGTTATAATATGAGAGCTTATCCGCTGTACTAATAATAGAACATGTTGCTTACTTCCCATTGGAATTAATAAAGCATTTAGATTGTTTACATTTCTTTATATTATCTAAACACAATTGCGTTGCTAGGCAACAGCATGGTTCCATTCTTACTTCCTGTCAGCTGATGTCCTGCACTCCTTATTTGGAATGGAACCTTCAGAATTATGACATCATCTTTTGCCTTTATGTAGAATTCTGAATTCTAGGAGTTTGCAGGACAGAGCAGCAGGCAGAAGCAATTTGTCCAGCTAGTGTCAGATCATTGCAGAAATAGGTTTTGTTGCAAGCAAACATTAGGGATACTTGCAGTGTTTTTTAGCGAGATAATCTTCACAAGTGAACTCAACTTTTGTGGGATTTTTGTGACGTTAATTCAGTCGAACAATTACATTTAGTTTGCTAAACAACAGGTCATTTCGTCACAGCGGTAGAGATGGAGATGAACAATAGAGATGAGCTGGCAGTCAAGCTCGAGATTCTGCAAAAAGAAAATCAGGAAATGAAGTTGTTGCTGGAGCAGGAGAGGACTTTAAGGGATAAGCTTGAGATTGAAGGCGCTAAAAAGAAGGAAGCTATGCTCAAAGCATATACAGCAGCTTTGCAGTTTAAGTACAATGTGAAAGTGAAAGCCCAGGAAATTGAGCAGAACGTCTTGCGCGTCAACAATGAGGACCTGAACATGAAATACAGAAACCTCCAGAGGTCACACAAGAAGGTCGAAGCCGAGATGGCTGCCTTGAGAAAGGCAAACCAGGAACTCAAACAACTGAAAGAACCCTGTGTTGAGGAGCAAGGTGTAGAGATGGCTGCTTTGCAAAAGACTAACCAAGAACTCAAACAACAAAAGGAGCGTTGTCTTGAGGAGAAATCTGTAGAGATAGCTGCTCTGCGTGAGAGAAACCAGGAACTCCAACAACAAAAGGATCATTGTGTTGACAAAGCTGTAAAGATAGCTGATTTGCGTGATAGAAACCAGGAACTCACAAAACTGAAGGAGCGTTGTGTTAAGGAGGAGGCAAATATGGACGCCTTGCAAACAACAAACCAGGAACTCAAACAACAAAAGTTGCGTTGCGTTGAGGAGAAAGATGCAGAGATCGCTGCTTTGCTGAAGGAAAACCAAACACTGAAGCAAGAGAAGGAGCGTTGTGTTGAGGAGAAGGTGGACAAGAAGGAGGATGTGGAGGTGGAGGTGGAACCAGAAGTGAGGCATGATGTTAAAATGAATGCCCTGGAAATTGAGCACAAAGTATTGCGCGGAAACAATGAGGAACTGAACATGAAATATGGAAAGCTCCTCAAGATGCACGAGAAGGACAAAGCAGTGATGGCCACCTTGAGAAAGGCAAACCAGGATCTCAAACAACTGAAAGAACCCTGTGTTGAGGAGAAGGATGCAGAGATGGCTGCCTTGCAAAAGACAAACCAGGAACTCAAACAAGAGAAGTTGTGTTGTCTTGAGGTGAAACATTTTGAGATAGTCGTTTTGCATGAAAGAAACCATGAACTGGAACAACAGAAGGAACGTTGTGTGGAGGAGAAGGATGCAGAGATAGTCGCTTTGCATGAGAGAAACCATGAACTGGAACAACAGAAGGAACGTTGTGTGGAGGAGAAGGATGCAGAGATAGTTGCTTTGCATGAGAGAAACCACGAACTGGAACAACAGAAGGAACGTTGTGTGGAGGAAAAGGATGCAGAGATAGTTGCTTTGCATGAGAGAAATCACGAACTGGAACAACAGAAGGAACGTTGTGTGGAGGAGAAGGATGCAGAGATAGTCGCTTTGCATGAGAGAAACCAGGAACTGGAACTCTGCGTGGTGAAGGAGGAGCTTGTGGAGGTAAAGGTGGAGTTGGAGGTGGAACAGGAAGTGAGGGTGGATCCACCTGAGCAAACCAATGAGCCGATCCCAACAACGCAGAGGAGGACAACACCACGGTGGAGAAGATTCATCAATTCCTTTTCTTGTATCCGCCCAAACATCAACGATGACTAAAAAGGAAAACATAAGACTCAAAGGCAGCCCTGACATCGGCTTTAAAAACTTTAAAAAACAAACTCACAACATCAAAAATTAGTAAGACATTAAAACATTTCAAGTACAGTCTAAAGCTCAAAGTGAGTGAGCAACAACATATACTCACAGCCAGTCAGGATATATATTTAAACACTTAACAGTTATTAGATCTGGTTAGACATCAACAAAGGTTCCAG